AATAATCATTGTTTCAGACTTCGTTTCTTGTAGGCTTTGTTTTTATGGGGTCTGATGTTAGGCTTTCAATTGTGCTTCAGGAAAAGAAAAAGGGGCTCTTGGACCATTAGGAGAAAGACTTTCCTAATCGTAATTTTGTGGGTTATTTCAGGGACATTGTTGTCTCTTAACATTAGCAGATAGCGCTCATTCCTTTAGAATCTGTCTTAATGCCTTGACATTGTTCTCACATTAAGCCCCATCTATATTCTTTTCTAAGTTGCTCCAAAAGTAATGCCTCCTATTTATTTCAGAGGGTGTACAAAGAGGACAATAATGCAATTTGGTAGAGCGGATTCTCAGCCACAAAACATCTCTTTTCAACAATCACCATCATTATTTATGCATTTTTGCCAGTGACGAACAAGAGCCTGCATGCCACACTCATAAAAATCTGCACCTGTGGAGATGACCCGCTGTCATTACTGCTGCTGCAGAAATGCACTACTTACCACCTCACTGTGCTCACATCCATGGTTGGTCTCCAGAAGCATTCATTTTATGTCAGTGGGTGCCATTTTTTTCCACATGGAGAAATTTAATTCCACACCTTTGCTTCATATGTACTTCCATATCAGATGCCAGTTTGTCAGAATGCCCCTCTGCTGCCATCTGTCCCACAGCAACAGAATGTAACAGAATACTGATGGGAAGGTACAAGCTCTACTGCCATACCACCAACATCTGCCTCTGATGTTGTGGGCCAACATCATAAAATATAGGAGGTGTTACTTTCAGAGCAGCTCTACTTGTGCAAATTCATTACCTTGTGTAGCCATCCACCTGCAGCAGCTTTGGTCTAAAGCCACTGTAGAGAATCTGTTACACGTTGATTACATTACTTTGAATTAATTGGGAGTTAATTGTGCGGTGGATACACGTAAGTAGGGATTGTAAAAACTCTTTGCATGTGTGCACATAAGAACTGCTGAAGTGAATATATTGAACTGTACGTTCTTGCTTGCATGCTGTTATCACTAGTTAGCTGGGAAGTCTTCACATAGGATACAATCAAAAGTGCTTGCATCAGGAACGGTGTTGCCAGCAGGAACAGGGCAGTGATTGTCCCCCTGCACTCAGCACTGGTGAGGCTGCACCTGGAGTACTGTGTCCAGTTTTGGGTCCCTCACTGCAAGAAAGACATTGAGGACCTGGAGCGGGTTCAAAGAACGGCGACAAAGTTGGTGAGGGGTCTGGAGCACAGGGCTTATGAGGGGCAGCTGAAGGAGCTGGGAATGTTCAGCCTGGAGAAGAGGAGGCTCAGGGGAGACCTCATTGCTCTCTGTAACTACCTGAAGGGAGGTGGTAGTGAGCTGGGGGTTGGTCTCTTCTCTTGTCTAATGATAGATCTAGAGGGAATGGCTTCAAGCTGCACCGGGGAGATTTAGGCTGGACATTAGAAAATACTGCTTTTCTGAGTGGTCAGGCAGTGGAATGGGCTGCCAAGGAGGTGGTGGAGTCACCGACCCTGGAGGTGTTGAAGGAACGTTTGGATGTTGTGTTGAGGGACATGGTTTAGTGAGAACTATTGGTGATAGGTGGATGGTTGGACTGGATGATCTTGAAGGTCTTTTCCAACCTTGGTGATTCTGTGATTCTATTAAGACCTCAGTTGGCTTGATGACAAAAAGGAAGGGGTTTAGGATCATAGGTAGAATTGTAGAATCTTACTGCATCTTTTAGCTGTTCTTTAGTATCTGTTTCCAGAGAATGATGAGAAAAATAGTAGATTGTGAAGTGTTACAAATGAAAACTCAAAGTACAATGTTTCTTAATGAGCACTCTTGCATTTCTAGGACCTTTCCCAAAGATAGAGAATCTGCTTGTGTCTGGTGTAGGCAGGATTGCTTTCCCATTCTAGTTCTCTAGGGAGCTCTCTCATTGCCTCTCCCTGAAGAGTGCAGTTAATTATCTGCTTTGCTTAGCTTCTCTAACAGAGGGAACTGTCATGCACTGCACCCAGCTGAATCAGCACCGCTTTACGCTGTCTTCTTTCTCATTGCTAATGCTTATCTAGTCTCATGCAGAGCCAACTGAGCTCATCAGTATAGGAAAATAGTAATAAATGTATGGTTCTTACTCACTGTACCTTGGGCTTCTGTCAGTGTGTCAAGTAGGACTGGGTCAGACCTGGATCAGACACTGGGCTGGCATCCATGAGTTCTGCAACTGTCTAACTTTATAGTACGATTTTTATTCATTTCTCCCTGTCTTCAAGAAGTGCTGTTTTAAGTTTGACTTTTGTTAGATTCTATGAAGATAGACATGCATTGTTCACTATTGGCTATGCCTTCAAATGGTACGCAATTGTTTTTTGGTGTTTATGTTTACCAAACTGAAAATACCCATCATAAGGGGAGTTGATCAGCTGACCAGTCTCTCTTCATCACCCAGAAATCTGAGAGAGTAGTGCTCTTAACAAGACAGATATGTCTGAAGAATTAGGTTCGTTCATACCACATATGTGCTTGCAGCACGTTGTCACTGTGTTTACAAAAGAAATTGGTTGTTCATGGACTTGAAGCCACATTAGTACTAGGTTTTGATATATACTCTATTCTTGAACTGTGGAGGGCACTGGTACTTCAAACTGATGCTGCTTCCCAACTCAAGCTTATAGAATGTGGGGAAAAATGGGTACTTTACTGTACAGTCAAATATAGTATCTGGTTGGAGCTCTGAGTTCAGCTTTTCCTTATGTTCAGTGGCACTTTGAATCTAACCTTAGTGAAGAGTAGTACTGTGATATAGAGCTGTTCTTTGGAGCACATCTAGAATATACTGGAAGTGTAACGATTAAGCTGGAGAATTGTGTTTAAGTGTCTGTGAAACAGCTTCATTTGAGTGTTTACATTATAAAGATTTAAAGATATTCAGAGGAAAAAGAAAGCAACATGTTTCCTATCGATGGTCAGAAACTATCAGACCAGTTTTTTATTACATTTATTTTCTTTCTCAGTGGCTGTTGGGGGTAGTGACAGAAAGAGGGAGAAAACAGAACAATTAACACACCATATGTACAAATTGGAAAATACAGTCTGTAGGTGTGTGCTGAATAAGAATTTACTTGAGTTCCATCTATTTTTCTTTCTTCTTAAGATAGCATACCCATTTGTATTGCATTTTGGAAGACTTGCTCCCAGTAATGGATACTTGCTGTTTTATTGTTGATTGCTGTTCTTTTCCTTTTCCTTTAAGCTAAGAAAACAAATTATGTTAAGACCTTGTATCTTTTGTCAGTCCTTCCTTTCTTGCAGAAAATATTATGTTTCTGCACAGTTAAACCCTACATAGATATGTGGGATGATTTGAAATCCATCCATTATCAAGCAACAAAATTACACTGCCTCTTAATGACTTGGAGTTGTTTGGGGTTTGGTTTTTGTTGTTTCGTTTGTTGTTTTTTTTTTATTCCTAGGAGAAAGCAGCTTCCCCTTCAAATCTTTCTAGGACACCAGCTGCAGATGAGAATGAGCTTCCATTTTTAATACATTCTATTAGCTTCACACATACAAACGCTCGCTCACTCGCACACCCCAGTGTCACATTATAGGTGAACAGGCCCTAATTAAAAGCGCACACCATCTGCCGGTGTGTGGCAGCAGGGTGGGACTCCATAACCATCCTGGTTCTTGTGATTGAAATGTATTATTTATGAGCTCAAAGAGAAAATATGCCTTTTGGCTGATGGTGCCTGCATTAGGAGCTGGAGAGCACCATCTAATGGCATGGAGTGACACTATCTGGTGATCCTTCATTTTCTTCCTTTCCCCTTCTCTGTAGCCTCCGCCAATTTTTATTTAATTTTTCAGTATAGTGTGTGGGGTTTTTCATGATCATGTTCAAAGCAATTTTGCATCTCATGTTTCACTTGTACACAGGATTGAAAATAGTTGTTGAAACATTGCACTAATAGTGGTGTTGTCAGCACCTTTTTTACTTCTAGTGCCCCACACAGGGTTTTACTTTCTGTATTAAAAGTAGTACTGACCAGGTAGTAGAGAAGTAGAATGTTAGCAAGATAGCTGAGCAAAAGGCCAGTTCTCCTTCTAACAAATGTGTAACAAAAAGTATGCACTGCTGAGTCTGAAAATTTTGTTTTATTATTGAAATGGGCACTGTTTTTTATTAAGCAATACTCTGCAAACTGCATAAAGGTTCTTAGTGGCTTCAGATGAAACAGGACAATTTCAGAGGTGACTACACGTTTGGATCTTCCTCTCTGAAAGGAGAAATCAAAAGCTCTCTCTGCTTGCAGAGATCATGTGTGTTACTGCTTGTGAGTGATGAAGTGGTTGAGGAGGTATTGGACTGCAAGTTGAAATATGCTTTGTCAGGAGAAGGAAGAAATAACAAAAAAGGAGCCCTTTTTGGTATGGTCAATCCATGATTCTAGCTGTGACTGCCAGATTGGAAAGTCAGAACTGGTAATAATGTATAATGCATGTAGCAGTTAGCACTGAGAGCTCCAGAGCTCTAGGAATAAAAGTAATCACACTGATGAAAAATCACTTGGGGTATGATTTTTTTTTATTCTTGTTTTGTTGCTGTTGCTTTTTGGGGTTTTGTTTGTTTTTAATATTCTTGAGCTTTGCATTAACCAGACTGGGGATGCAATAACATGTTTATGGCAGAAACAAGCAGAGCTGTAGGGACTGATTTAATGGGGATTTGGAACGAGATGATCTTTAAAGTCACCTTTAGCCCAATACATTCTATCATTCTGTGACTTGACTGATATGGAAAGTGTGAGGATTTCCTACAACTTTCAGTAAAATTACTTTTTTTTTTTTTAATGTGGTCACTATTTCTACTCCAACAAAATTCTAAATACAAATATATATTTTGAAAAAAGCATATGTGTACATTTACTGAACTAATTCAGTATGTTTTATGGCATGTTGAAATGTCATAAAACTGTGGCACATTTATAAACATGTTGTCTTGTTGTTTATATTTAGGACATACGCCATCAGAAGGATAAGAGACGCCTTCAGAGAAAACAAGAGTATAAAGGACTCTGCAAAAATAGAAGAACTAGTGAATAAAGCAAAAGAAAACCTGGAGATTATTCATCGGCAGGTACATTTACTTCTGTTATTTTATCTAAGAGTTGTATACATCTTATTGAACTGCTTATGCTATTATAGGTGGAAAAAATAGGTCCTTGTGCAAAACATCCCTGGATGAACCATAGTTTTTGTATGTCTGGGTTTGTGAGGATGGAAAGGATTCATTTATCCACTATGGTTGCAATGGGGAATTTAGGGATGCTTATTCCAGTAGCCTGAAAATAAAAATTTGTATGTCTTGTGTTTTTTTTTCAGCTGTTTATCTTACTATCTTTGTGTTCCTCTTCACTCTGTTCCTCTGTTCTGCCCTCAATTTCCTTTGAATCTCTTTTCTCTAGCTCATGTATATTATGTAGGTCACTTCAAAAGCACTGCCTCCCGTTTATTTCCACAGAAACTGCAACAGATACAAAGAGCACAATAAGGCTATTTGATAGAGCAAATTTTCAGACACAAAATACCTTTCCTCACTGATCACCACCATTAGCTACATATTTCCACCAGTGATAAAAGAGAGCCTGCGTGCCCCACTAGTAAAAATCTGCATCTGTGGAGGTGGCCCACTGTCACTGTTGCCACTGCTGAGATGCACCACCCACCATCTCACTGTGCTCACTTCCACTGGTTGGTCTCCAGAAGCATTCAGCAAGCATTCATTAAATGTCAACAAGTGCCATTTTTTTCTACTTGGAGGAATTTGATTCCACACCTTTGCTTCTTCCACACTTCTGTGTCAGATGTCATTTTGTCAGACTACCTCTGCTGCCATCTGTCCCACAGCAACAAAATGTAATGGAATATTGATAGGAAGGTTCAACTTCTACTGCCATACCACCAACATCTGCCTTTGATGGCTTGGGCTGACATAATAAAATATAGGAGATATTTACTTTCAGAGCATACTTTCACAGATTTCCATTCCTTATTCCTTGCATCACAGTTTTATAAGTGTGGCTGTGACAACCTCTCCACGTCGTCTTGCCTTCTCTGGCTGCTTTTCCCCAGCTCCAGATACATTGTTTGTGCAACATCAGAACATGAAAATCATAAAGCGAATTAAGTAAATGCTGACTAAATGTATTTCCAAACAGGGTGATATATTTTTCCTGGAAAAAAGTTGAGTCACTGGCAGTACTTTTCTCTGGCATGGTCTGAGTAGCTCTAGTAGTATCTCTGTCCTTTCCACTAGGTACCATATTTAGATAGGAACTTGAATAGGCAATATATGCAGATCCGTTATGCAGAAAAGTAAGCAGACAGGAGAAAATCATAAACAAGTAGTGAAAGATAAGAATGTAGAGAGACCAATTCTGCCACTTGCAGAACTTTGCATCATAGTAGTAACAGTTTGTGGAGATGGGATCTCCCATAACGAAATGCTATAGATAAGGTTCGTTTGGAATTTTAATTAATAAAATGTCAACGTGTCAGAAAATTTTTCTGGCTGTGAGTGAAAATATAAACATAACTTTGATAAGTTGGAAAAATGTTAGTGAGGCTGCTATGGTAACTGTATTGCTGTGAAATGGGTGACTGATGTGGTAATACATTTTATTTATGGTTTTAAATGTTGTTACTAGGACCTGCTGGCACAACTTTTTCGTAAGAACAAGCTCTTTCTAAAAAGAGTCCAATGTCAAGATATCAGAACACTACGAACAGATGAAAGTACCAGTCCTTTGTAGCTAACTTGGATGTGGGAATGGTTCATAGCATATTAACTTCTGGGGTACCACAACTTCATGCAGGTAGAATTTGATTCTCTGTATAAGCCTAAACAAAAAGACCAGTTCGAAGTTAGATGGTGGGTAAGTCCTCCTAAAATAAAAGCTTTCATCCTTTTTCCTTTAAGAAGGCATGATTCTTTCTATTCATCTCAGCTGTAATAGATCTGGGACAGATTTTAAAATAGAGCTTAACTCTTCGGCACGAATCTTGTGAACATAGAGATTATCTTGTTACTGTTGATAGTGGAAAAAGTTTTCTAAAACAAGAATCTTGATGGAGGAAACTCTTTCTCCTCTGTGGTGTGCATCTTGTTTCAAATCCTATGAATTTTTGTTTTACCCTAAAGATCATCATTCATTATCAGATATTTCAACTATCTTCGAAAGAGTAGGAAGAAGAGGCAGGCCTGATTAATCTGTTGATGTTACACACAGTTGCTGTTTGTTGTAAAGGAGTAGTTGTGCTATAAGAACACTTTGCATTCACTTGTTGATAGTAAACATGCGTAAGACACATGTATGTGCCAGTACTTACAGACATAGCTTTAACAACCATGTCCATGACCAACAGGTAATATCATAAACCTGTCTGTTATGCAATGATAAAAGTATAATATGGTAATCAAGAGCACGACAACAATTAAAAAAAATAGACAAACTAGAATATTTTCTCTTATGAAGGATTCTGCTAATTCTACTGGCACAACCATTCTAACGTGCTACTTTTTTCTTCCACTTTGCTACTTAATCAAATAAACATTATAGTACATACTGAATAAATGTTTCTCAGTTCACATTAGAGAAATCTTGAAGAGCCATATTTCAATTTACAGTGTAACATATAATTCTTGCTTTAAAATGCTTTATGTGTAGGTGTGAATCTTTCAGCCAGGAAGACAATCAGAAACAGTAAAGGCTTGTGGGCTTCTAGTATGCTTTTGATTCAAGTTCCACTGGGGTTTTCTGAATATGAAAATCTCCATGTATGTATTTTATCTTTACAAACATATAAAACTTGTGCTTAGGGTGAATATATTAAATACATTATAAACTGTTGTCAAGCAAATGGCATTGAATACCTACCTTTATGAATGTGGTTGTTCCTTGAAGGACGTCTTTGTCACTATGATGTAACCAGAATAATGCAAAAGGGCTTTGGTTATTACTAAAGCCAGAAGTTTTTCTAATTGAATTCAGTAATTGAAGGGGTTTCTCCCATGTGCAGTATGTATCTGCTGAAGAAGAAGTTTTAAATTGGATCACATTTTTGTATCATTCCATCTAATGATTGTAGCAAAAATGCACTTGAAAGATGAGGAATGATAGAGACTTCAGCACAACTTTCACATTTTAACACTGCTAAAATTGAAACTGACATTAAATTATTTCATGTGTTGCACTACTAGAAGATTTCCAATTTCAAAGCAAGAAACATGCTTCTATAATGTATGTATTTGTTGGAGTCAAAACAACAATGTAAAGCAGAGGAACGTTTTGCAAAAAATGATCTTATAAAGGAAAATGAGTTCATCAAGATAAATTTTGAGCCATGAGTTCCTTCAAGACTTCCTGAAGCTTTGGTTACAACATTTTGGTTTTGCTCAGTCATTCCTTCCCCCAGCAGTGTACCCAAAGAAAAGTTTTTCTAATACATAGAGAACTGTTGTTCTTTGCAGAATTTCTATAGTGAAGCAGAGTTGTACAATATTCTGAGTTGGGAGGGACCCATGAGTGTCTCTTAAAAGTAAACTTTTCATCAGAACTATAGTATACTTAGAATCAAATTTCATATTAATACATGCTTGCAGAGCATTTAATCATGCAGATTAAATGTGGGGGCAGAAGAATCATTCTTGTGCTTTGTTTAATTGAAAATATAAGTAATGTCATCTGACATTATTAAGAGTTTATATTTGAAACTGAGCATAACATAGTGTGTTTTTAAAGGCACAAGCAAGAATAAGATCTAGTGAGCATTTTTTACTAGATTTGGGATTTATTATGATGTAGCACATTTTGTTATTGCTGACTTTTCATAGCGTATCAATAGAAATTAAATAATATCTCACCTAGTTGACAATTTGTCGTTACTCTAAAATCAAATTTATATTCACTTTACATTCTAATTTATGGTTTAGTCATCAGAGTGACCACTGAAGTGTAAGGTTCATAAATAACTGTTTGAATCAGCCTAGTGGGAAATGTGAAATAGTGACAGATGACTGTCATTTTCTTCATGTCAGTCACTGTTCAATTTACTTGAATGTTATAAAAGTAGCTTTATAAAACTGAAAAGCATGGAGGAACATTAATCTCCACCATAGCCCTCCTCTGCATGTTTTGATTTAAAAACAGGGTTGCTAAAGGAACAACTCTGATTCTTAATGTAGTTTATGAAGATCATGCGCTCGTGTGTTTAACTGCGTAAACAGCACCATTTATGGCATCCTCCCTTTCAAGAAGGGAGGTGACTGTGTCTGAAATGCACAGTCACAAGTAGAAAGGTTTTTTTTAAGGTTTCGGGACAATTCTTTGGTGTCCTTAAGAATGAGTATTATTGCAACAGCCATTCCTAGCCATGCTAGTATGGAGTTGTTTGTGAATTTCTGTCACAGTTGAAATATGTGAGAGGCGGGAGAATTTGCCCTGAAATGTTATCAGTTGTACCATTTTTGATACCACGTAACTGCAAATGAGAGATGCAAATCACTTTTCACAGATCTTTGGCACAGAAGTGTTAGCCAGTCAAGACACAAGGATCTCGTTCCTTTGCAGCTGTTCATGGCTGTGTTCTAAGGGGAGAGACGGACAAACGTCCTCACTGGCATAAGTTGTCCTTCCTCAGGCTTGACTTCTCTTACGGCTTCCTTCAGATGTGTAGAAGATTGAAGGAACATGGTTTCAAAGTATGAAAACTTTATTAAAAAGGCTTCACTAATGATAATAAATGTTAAGTGCTAGCAGCCTTTTGGATGTTATAAGTTCATTTCTAATCCTCGCAATATTCTTTTATTATAGTAACTTTATCTCTGTTTAATGAAATCCTTCGTGACTATGTCTTGATGAAAGTCCATGTCATAGTTAGTGTAAGATTTAGGTTTCATATTCTTTTACTTCTTCATATTTGGCATCTCCAGTAAATATGGTTGGTATGGTTTTGTTTTGAACTCTCTGCATTACGCTTGACCAACCTGATAGCCTTCTGTGATGATGTCATTGGCTGAGTAGATATGGGGAGAGCAGTGGATCTTGTGTACCTTGACTTCAGTAAGGCATTTAGCAC